CCCTCCTGTTTGGAAGAGTGTTCTACCTGCGTGTCAGAGCTGAGCTCTGAGCGCCTCGGAGAAGGGCATCCTGCTTATCATGGCCCATCCAGGCAGAACCAGCCAAGCCAACCATGTGCTTCTCTGCTTCACTTGGCTGTCAGATAAGGGCCACCTGCTTATTGATTGGCACAGCAGCACTTAGGTCCAAACATGCTCCCTAATGACACAAAGCTTCATATTAGAGGATGTCAGGGAATTGATTTTGTTCTTCCCTAGGAACAAAAGGTGCCAGAAGTCAGATGAAACTGAACAGTCAAAAAAGCATCAGCATACACCTTCCCCTGTCCTCGTCCCCACCGGGGAGCTGTGGTCTAACCCATGGGAGAAGAACCCAGCCTAACCCCTGGGACAGAGAGAGATACCTGAGCTGCGAGACAGCAGCAAATCAATCCTCAGATAGCTGAGAACCTGACTGTCTGGACCCATCGCCAGCCTCCTCCTCTGCCCCTCAAGGACTGCCCTGGACTTCCGTCAATGCAGTGGCATTGAGTATCTTGTGCCTGGATGTCGGCAAGCTCTGGCTGGGATGAATCTCAGTTCCCTTGTCTAGGAAATGGGGACATAATAATCTGCTTGAAAATTAAATGAATTTATTGAGCTAATGTTTTTAGCATGGGGGTTGAACCCAGGGGCACTTAACCACTGAGCCATATCCCCAGTCCTTTTTATTTTTTATTTTGAGACAGGGTTTCTCTGAGTTGCTGAGGCTGGCTTTGAACTTGTGATCCTCCTGCCTCAGCCTCCTGAGCCACTGGGATAATAGGCATGCGAATACTATAGAGGAGTCAGGATTTGGGGCCCAGCAAGGTGAAAACATTTTTTGGGGTGGGGTGGGTACCAGAGAATGAACTCAGGGGCACTTGACCACTGAACATTTTAGAAGCTTGGAGTCCACCAAGTGGCGCTGAGTCTAAAAGCTTTTGTTGGGTGCCATGTTTAGCTCAGGATTTTATGAGTTGCATAATGTAAGGGGAAATACCAGGCTCTGCTGGAAAATACCCCAGGACCCAACAGAAAGCAAAGTTCTAACCTTGTCATATGGCACTGGGAGAGTGAGATTCTGAGGGATCAGTCAAATCCAGGCAACTCACAGGTTCATGCCTCTGATAATTACCTTTCAGAATCTGAACCTAATAATCACACAGCTCAGAGAAGGGCCATAGCCTAGTCTTTTCTAAAGATCAGAGAGGTAGAAGATGAGCTTTAGATTGATAAATACGATCACACAATGTATATTCCAACTTCAGTAGGAATCCTGGCTTTGACACTTATGCCTGTGTGTCTTCGGATAAATCACTTAACCTTTCTGAGCCTCAATTTTATCATCTTGATTAAATATCTTTTGAGATTGAGAAATAAGTTAGGTAATTATTAAAAATACCCAGGAAGCTATTTTTAAATAGTTGTTTGAAAATGCTTGTCATTATTTTTTTATAAACTCCAAGGAACCTACTTATGAACTCGTGAAAATTTTCCAGAAACTATAATAAGGAAATTCAGAGACTATGATTAGTTGATATTGCTGTGAATCATGCTCCAGAATCAAACATAGCTGTCAAAAATGTGTCTGACACAATAATGGAATAAGCTACCGACAATAGTAGAGTCCCTAAGAGTTTTTAAGTAGATGGTGGATAGTATAAATTAAATATCTACATTCTTTAAAAAAAAGGTTTGGATGCAAAGATACCCCAATTCTAAAATTCATTAGTTCTGATTGACAGCTATTTGTTGTGGCTACAGCCATTTTAAGAAATGCATTTTTCAGAACCCCGTTATCATAATTCTGCCTTAGAGCAAGTCACCCCAAACTTAGTGATATATAGCAATGAGCTTTCTTCTCACTCCGGAGACCTCTGGCAGCTGAGGTTGGGCTGACCTTACGATGGGTCCAGGCCCATTTGCTCCTAATGTCTTTTACCTTCAATGGGACAGTAACTGTCTGAGGCACGTTCTTCTCATGGCAAAAGGCAGGGGACTAGCCAAAAGGCCAGCACAAGCACGCAGGTGCAGGGAGAGCCTCAGCTCACACTGCGTTCGTAGGATCCCAGGAGCCAGGAGGTCATATGGCCAGGCCCCAAAGCTGCAGACTCTGCCCACTTTACACCAGGGCAGGGGTTACAGGGTATGTGAATAGGGGAGTCAGGAGTTGGGGACCAGTCGTTCCACCTTCCTCACCTGTGATGCTGTGAACTATTCCTGGAGTGAGCGCAATCCCCTTTCTAGGCAGTCGAGGGAGGGTCTTTTTGATCTGGCCTTAACCCCACAAGTGACAAGTATCTCTTAGTCCATTGTGGACCCACGCAAGAAGATAAGGCTTCCCCATTAGTCAGTAAGAACTTCTAAGATTCAGTTGTGTGACGAAGCAGCTAAACTGGGCAGAGGAGAGGGGAGTCATGGAGAAGTCCCCTGTGCAGTTAACCCCTCATATCCAGCCCACTGGTCAGACACTGGAAGTGATGACCATCTAACGCCCACTCAGAGGTCTAACAGCATTGAATGATCAGTTTCCCTCCGATTCTCCATGGTTTTCTGGTCCCTTTCATAGAAACCATCAATGTAACTGATACTTCTGGCTTCAGATAATACAGTAGATCAAAAGAATGGATTAAATTGAATACGTGCCCTTTTTGCTAGAAACAGCTGTCCTTGACTGTCAATCAGTCATATTCAGACCTCTAAATTGTTGGGTTGAGTTTGGGAGACAGAGGCAGGCATCCGCTAGGAGAAATGACATGAATGACATTTAACAGAGTGCATGTTTTCAGAGGAGACCCTTCTTTCCAGAAGGCTCTTGTGCACTGCCTGAGGGGCAGAGGATTCATGTTCATGCTCAATACTTTTCAGGGAAACCCAGAACTACCCAGAGGGGAGTGGTTTCCCTGTGTGACAGGTTCCTAGGACTCTCGTTGGCAGACAGAACATCTCAGGGGTGAGAAGCCCAAGCTCTGGTGTCTGGTCTGTGTTCAAACTTGGCTTCACAACTCATTATCTGTGAGACCTTGTAAAACTGGTGAAGGTTCTGTAGCAGCCATGGGTGTTGGCTGCGGATGTTCAGTTTGCCTCTCCTCCTGGCACCCAGAGTCCCCTGGCATCTCTGTATTTGGGTAGGAACATATGACTAGTTCCAAGCAAAGAACTGTGACCAATATGTGATATATCACTTCTGGGTTGTACCACTTAACGCCCAGTGAGAGTGTGTCCAGAATTCTCTCTTGTCACTCTGGCACAGTAACCAGCAACATTCAAGATGGTGGCTGCTCCATCAGCCCAGGCCCCAGGGTAACTGCAATGAGCAGAGTCTACCTGAGTGACCTGTGAGAGGCATGCAGCATGAGAGAGAAATGAGTTTGGTGGTGTTAAGCCATTGACACTCTGGGAGCTATTTCCTTCTACAACTTAACATACTCTACTTGATTGATGTACCTCACTAAATCTTAATTTCTTGATCTGGCAAAATGAGGATAATAGTGGATTCTACTTTAAAAAATAATAGGAGGATTAAGCTGTATAGGGTATGTGTGATCCTTAGAATCGTGCCTGGAACATAATAAATTCTAAACATATTTGGCAATGATGGCAGTGATGATGTTTTACTGTGTCTAACTTTGTCTCTATCAAGATATCTATTTCTGTCAGACTAGTTATTTATTAGTCATGTGACTTTGAGAAAAAAAAAAACAACCTCAAAATTCAATAGTAATAAGTTTCACTAGATGGGTTATGGCTTAAATTTCTAGCTTTAAGAATATGTGACTCTACCGGCTGTGGTGGCACATGCCTGTAACCCCAGCTATTTGGGAGGCTGAGGCAGGAGGATCGTGAGTTCAAAGCCAGCCTCAGCAAAATTGAGGAGCTAAACAACTCAGTGAGGCCCTGTCTCTAAATAAAATACAAAATAAGGCTAGGGATGTGGCTCAGTGGTCGAGTGCCCCTCCAATTAAAAAATAAATAAATAATAAAAAAGAATATGTGACTCCACTAAGGGCTCCCTCAGAAAATCCATCCTGACATCTTGAAGATATTTCTATTAGTTAGGGGAACAAAATACACGATAATGCTAGACATTATCTTCTTCCCTTTTCCCAGGGCTCCCTCTTCTTCAAACAGAAAGATCTAGGCATTTCTAACAGATTTTTCTGTATCCTATTCTGAAGATTTCTTCCCAGGAAATGACATGTGGCTGGCAAATTCTTAGCTACCAATTGGTTTACCAGTTTAGGTACCTACATCACCATTAGTCCATCCCCATTCCCTGTTCTGTTGTCACCAATAAGATGTCACCTGACTCCAGGCCACAGACCACCATCCACCAATGGTCTTTCTCCTGATAACGTGGACTTTCTTAGTTCAAAAGCTGAGGGTCCTGTCCTTGACCCGCTTTGCCCTGACTCAAGGTGGCCACCCTCACACCACCACTCACCATTTCCAAGGCCTGTTTACCAACTTCTCTAATTTAGGGCATTCCAGGTCTTGATTTATAATCTCTGTCCCTTCTCCCATGTGATTGGCTGGGTCCTTCTCTAGTCCCCAAAGCAGCCCTTCCTGAACTTCCTAAAACACACATTAATATTTTAGGTTGAACAATAGGAAATTGCAATTTTAAGGGATTTGAATATGGCAATGTCTTATAGTTTGACCTATATAAAAATCCCATTTGGATAAGAAAAAGAATTTTACTGTGTACATATTTCATTCCATGTTGGGTCCCATGAAGGATCCTCATGCATTTCTCCCTCCTTGCCTTATTCCTGTAGAACGTGCCTTATGCTCTTTTATATCTTCCTCTGACTCCCACACCCAGCACTTGGTCAGTAGCAGATATGGACACTACATTTATTGACTGATGAGCTGTAGGCCTTTCCCGATATCTAGTATTATACAGATTTGGACTGTTTATAAGGCACCATGTACCACTATTGTGTGGGAGAAAGTAACGTTCCTCCAACCTCTTTCAGATCGAAGACATCATCACAAAGATGCAAGATGACAAGACGGGAGGAGTGCCCATCAGGACAGTCAAGAGCTTTCTCTCCAAAATCCCCAGTGTCGTCACAGGTAATGTACCCCTCACAAGGTGCTGGTGGCCACCAGAACTGGCTACTGATGAATGCGTGCCCGGATGGTGGCCTGGGGTGTCTAAGAGTGTATGAATACTAAAAATGAGGCATTTATTGTGGTTTTGACTCAAGTCTCATCGAGGTCTTGGTTTCTAGGAAGGAGCTATCTTTGCCAATCTTTAAGAATGTCCATGACCAGCCTGTGTGTAGGTTGAGACCTCTGGGATTAAACAAATAACTGGACACAATAGCAATTTGGTCTGTGGGACATAAACAATCACAGAAACAAACAACAATCGCAGACATAAACAATCACAGTAAACCATTTACATTAAATGGTTTTTAAAGAAAGCTTTATGTTTAAAAATGCTTTATACCCAAATTCTGCAAGATGCTTTTGAAATTTTTTAACTCACTACAGTTGAACTTCTGAAAAAGTAGTTTTAAAATATTGTTTTGCATTTTCTTATGTGTTTTTTTATGATTAGACAATTCATTTAATATTTTTGATTGTGAAATGTATTAAATGTACTTGAAGAACAGTAATGTAACACAGAGCGTACACTCCCACCTTCCCTAACAAATGGCATATTATCTGTATCTGAGAGTCCCTTCATGTACCTAGTAGATTGAATCTTCCTGTCTGCCCACAAATTTTATGTTAATCAGTTCATTGCTTTTCTTCATGGTTTGACTTGCTATCCCAATGAATAAGCAAACAAATTAAAAGTTTTGATGATGCTCTTAGTCTTAAAATTGGGCTATTTGCTTTCCAAACCTCAGGAACCAACAAAAGTTAGTTTCTACTATATACCTGTTAGCATGGGTAAAGTGAAACATGCTGACAAGACCAAGTACTGCTGAGGGCGGGAGTGACTGGCAGGCACTCTCTTGTATTGCTGGTGGGAATGCAAAATGGTGCAGCTACTTCGGGAAACAGCTTTGCAGTTTCTTATAGAGTTAAACAATGCTTAGCATATGACCCAGCAATCCCACTTCACAGTGTTTACCCAAGAGATAAAAACTTATATTCACACAAAAAACTCATATACAAGTGTTATAGCAACTCAACTCATATAATCTCTACTTGCTGGAAATAACCCAGATGTCCTTATGTGGATGAGGCAATAAACTCAGGTCTGCCATATTCAGCAGTAAAAAAGAGTAAACTCTTGATACATGCAACAACCTGGATTAATCTCAACATTCATTTTCCTGAGGACAAGAAACCAGTCTCAAAAGGTTATATACTGTCCAACTCTGTTTATATGACTTGCTAAAAAAAAAAATCCAAAAATTTTATGGATAGACAACAGATCAATGGCATTGGAAACTGGGGAGGTGGGTGTGACTACAAGTGATATCGGAAGGGAGTTTTATGAGATGATACAACTGTTCCATATCCCAACTATGGTGGTGGTAACATGAATTTATACAGGTCTCATTCATAAGAGAGCACCCACACACTCACAGATTGACTCCAGTCACAATATTGACTGGAGTCAATATTACTATATTGTAACTAAAAAAGTAAACTCAGTTGAAGTATCCAGGAGTAGCCCAACTCATTATCTATATAGTTTCTCTTTGAACTTAAATACTGACCTATCTTGGGTAACTATAGCAAAGTATCATAGGCTGGAAGGTTTATAAACAATAGAAATGTATTTCTCATGGTTCAAAGTCCGAGATCAGGGTGCCATGATGGTCAGGTTCTGGTGAGGGACTGCTTCTACTGTGACCTCACATGGCAGCTAAATAGCTCCCTTCCTTCCATTCATTAGGGCTCACCTTCCTCAGTTGCCTCCCCAATGCCTCACCTCTCAGTATCATATTAGGGATCATATTTCAGCACGTGAATTTTGGAGAGGCACATTCAGTCCTCAACAAACACCAATATGGATTTGGAAGTTGTATTTTTAGTGTTCTCTAATTTTAAAATTTATCTAAATATAAATTATACTATCTATATTGACTCTGAAGTATATTTTTTTAACTTACTGGATTTTGTTACATAATATGTTTAGAATTTTTAAATTTATTTTCATGAAAAAAAATTGTCTATGGTTTTTCTTACTTTCATGGCTGTTTAGGAATCAAATTTACACCAGCTTCCTAAGAGTAACCATGAAATATATCTCTTCTGTTGATATTGTGTTGTTCTCTGAAAAAATAAGTTTCTCTTTATCCAGCTAAGTATTAAATTTCAATTATTTTTTATTTCTAAAATTTCCATCTTCTTCTTTTTCCAACATGTTTGGTCATTTATTTATTATTTATTTAATCCTTTACATACTTGATGGATGTTTACTAATTTCTAAGTGTTGTTAGTTTAGATTCATAAGTAAATGAAACAGATACAAATTCCTATTCTTGTGGAATTTATATTCTGGAAAAAGAGACAATGGACAAGATTAATAAGGAAATTCGTAGGATTTTACATAGTGATGAAAACCAGGGAGAAAGATTAAACCTGTGAAAAAGGTAGAAAATATTAGAGTATTTTAATTTGGGGATTAAAGGTGGTTAATGAAGAACTCCCTAAGAATATAACACTTGAATAAAGGTAGAAAGGAGATGAAAGATTGAATCGTGTGGATATTGAGGGAAAGAGCATTTCCAGACAGTCATTCCTATGTCCCTAGGACAGGAGTCTTCCTGGTATATTGAGGACTTATGACAAGGGAACCAGTGTGGCTAGAGCAAGGCAGATAAGGAGAGTAGAGCCAAAGACAGAGTGACAGTGGACAGCCAGAAAATGAAACTCTTGGTCATCACAATGCCACCTGCATGGGGTGATGTGCTCTGACTTCCCTTTCAATAAGATCACTCTCTTGTGTTCAGAAGACACAGGGATGGGGTGGGGTTGAAGTGCCAGGTCGAGTCTGTCATAAAAATGGCGGATCAGATTAGACCCTCCGTATTAGAGGTGTGTGAAGTGGTCACATTCAAACTCAAGTTCCAGGGTGAAATAGATGGTTATTGGGGTTAGCTCAGATGCAGAATGTGAGAGAGATAAAATTAGAATCAACAGTGATTATATACCTTTTTGAGCAACTGGAAGACTGGAGTTGCCATTAATTTCAATAGGGACGACTACAAGGAGACAGGAGATTCGTTTGCTTGTTTGTTTAGCTGGAAAGTAAGAAATCAAAAGATGGATTTTAGACAGCTCAAGTTTTAGAGAGCCTTAGACATTAAATTGGAGGTTTAAGTACATAGATCCAGCAGGCATTTAGGTATATAGCCCTAGATCTTAAGGGCATATCTGAGCTGAGGACATTGAAATGGCATTTAGAGCCATGGGATTAATAAGTTCTCCAAGGCAGTGAGTATAGATAGAACCCACAGTCCATGTCCTATAACTTGGAATACCCATATATAAAGAGGTCAGGGAAAGAAGGAGAAACCAGCAAAGGCAATTGAGAAGAATTCTCTTCAGACAAAGAAGAACATCAGCAAGATAGGATTTCTTGGAAACCAAATTTTCTAGAAGATGTTTGAAATGGCGTGATCTACATTAAATACTGCTGATAATCATGTAAGCTAAGGTCTGAGGTTAGCAATACGGAATTCCTTGCTGACCTTGATAAATACACATCCTGTGAAACATGGTGACAAAACGCCTTCTTGGAGTGGGTTCAAATCAGCATGGGAGAAGAGAAAACTGGGATAGTAAGTGTATAGTAATCTTTGGAGTTTTCCTTAAAAAGGAAGGAAGGAAGGAAGGAAGGAAGGAAGGAAGGAAGGAAGGAAGGAAGGGAG